TCTTATTCATCATATGTCAAAAAGAAGAGAGAAAATGAGGAAAATTCTTTGATCAATGACATTAAAAATATCGAAGAAAATATTTCTGAAAGTAACTTAGAAGAACTATACGATAAAAAACACGAATTAGAAAAAAATAGAAAGCACAAGTTACAAGGTAATTACATAAGAAGTAGAGCAAGATGGATTGAGGAAGGGGAAAAGCCCACAAACTATTTTTGTAAACTGGAGTCAAGGAATTTTACAAGTAAAATCATATCAAGATTAGAAATAAATAATGGTGAGGTTATTCATGATCAGTCACAGATTTTGAAAGAAATCAAATCTTTCTATGAAAATTTGTATACAATTAAAGAAGGGAATACAGACTAAAATTTAGATAATGAGTTGATACATACTGATGTTCCCAAACTTTCTTGTGAAGAATCAAACCATTTAGAGGGTGAAATAACCTTGTTAGAAGCCTCAAATACTCTTTATAATATGAAGGCTAACAAATCTCCAGGATCTGATCGTTTCTCCACAGACTTTTTTAAAATGTTTTGGAAATATATTGGGCCTTTTGTCGTAAGATCTATTAACTATGGTTACAGGAATGATATCATGTCTATTACACAAAGACATGGAGTTATATAATTATTACCTAAAGGTGACAAGCCAAGACATTTTCTTAAAAACTGGCGTCCTATTACACTGCTAAATACTGTATATAAAATAGCATCTGGCTCTATTGCAAACAGATTTTAAAAATATTTAGATAAAATAATCAACCCTGACCAAACTGGTTTTATCTCCAACAGATATATTGGAGAAAACATAAGATTGATATATGATATAATGCACTTTACAGAAGAAGAAGATATTCAAGGACTTTTATTACTGATCGATTTTGAGAAAGCTTTTGACTCTCTTTCCTGGAACTTCATACAAAAAGCATTACATTTTTTCAATTTCGGCCCTTCCATCAGAACATGGGTCACTCTTTTTTACACGGATATTAAAGCTACTGTTAATCAAGGTGGTAATTTTTCTGATGTAATTGATATTCAGAGGGGATGCAGACAAGGAGACCCCTTGTCTCCATATATTTTTTTGATCTGTGCAGAGATTCTAGCCATACAAATTAGGAAAAATAAAAAAATAAAAGGTATTACCATTAGAAATGTAGAAAAAAAAGATCTCTCAACTGGCAGATGATACTTCCCTTATTCTTGATGGAAGTGAGGAGTCTCTTTTAGAAACATTGAAAACTTTGAACACATTTTCAGATATGTCTGGATTATGCTTTAACTTCTCAAAAACACACTGTGTGGATTGGATCCAAAAAATACAGTGATGAGGTTTTAATCCCAAATTATCAACTTAATTGGGGAACTACTAGATTTACTTTATTAGGGATAAATTTTGATGTTGACCTAGATAAAATGTGTGAAATAAATTATCAACCAAAGCTAGTGCAAATCAAGTCTATTCTTAGTCAATGGGAAAAAAGGTTTTTAACTCCAATTGGAAAAATTACTGTTATAAAGACACTGGCTTTACCTATATTAAATCATTTATTTATGTCAATCCCAAATCCATCTAATTCTTATTGTAAAGAATTAGAAAAACTTTTTTTCTCATTCTTATGGAATAATTCAACTCATAGAGTTAAGAAAGATGTCATTGTTAAAAAATATGAAGATGGAGGACTGAAAATGATAAATTTAAATGCTTTCATTGTTTCTTTGAAATTAGTTTGGATAAGACATCTAGTTTTTACAAATAAAGGGTGGGAAAATTTCATCCCAAATATGAATATATAAAAATTTGCATCCTGTAGTATTGAATACATCACTCAACTTATGAAAACCTTAAAAAAATAAATTCTGGATTGATGTGTTCAAGTCCTGGGTTGATTTGAATAAAATTTGTACTGATTCTGATGCTACTGTAGACTCTCCACTGTTTTATAACCCTATGATCCATATTGGAGGGAAAACCTTTTATAGTAAAAAACTTTTTGACAATAATATTAGATATATTAATGACATTATTGGAGTAGATGGCTTTTTTTTATAGCTATGAATGATTTTGCAATACTTATCCAGATATAAAGATATAAAGATTAATTTTTTAGAGTATTCTAGCTTGATCCATGCAGTTAAAGCTTGGATAAAGAGGAGCAATTTTGATAAAAATTTACAAAAATCAGAAAATCCTCTTTTATCTTGTATCAAAATGCAAAAAATCAAAAAACTTCTATGAAATTATCAATAAAAATTCTTCTATAACAGCTGGTTACAAAAAATGGATTGAATTATTTGATTTGGATAGTAAGGAATGCAAAATAATTCATAAATTACCATTTCAAGTCACAAAAAACTGTAAACTCCAGTGGTTTCAGTACAGAATTTTAAATAAAATATTGGCAACAAATTCTTTTTTATTCAAATTAAAAAGGTTGTTTCAAAGCAATGTACTTTTTGTCAAAAAGAAGAAGAGACAATTGAACATATCTTATGGGAATGTGATCTTGTACAATCACTCCTTGAAAACTTTGAATATTATCTCCAGCAGAAAAACCTCCATTTGTCCATAACAAAAAAATCATTCATTTTAGGTACTGGAGGAAAAAATAATGAAATAGCTAATATCTTAATGTTATGGTTGAAATATTATATTTATACTACTTACTATTTGAACCTCTAAATGTGCACTCTGCGATATCACACTTGAGTTATTTTTACCAAACACAAAAATATATATCATATAAAAATGGTGAAAAAGAGAAATTTGACAATCAGTGGAACAGGTGGAACCAATTATTTTTGTAACTCTCTCTCTTTCTCTTTCTCCCCCTCTCTCTCTTTCTCTCTCTCTCTCTATATATACACACAATTCTGTTAAAGAAAAGATATTGGACATTTTGTATATAATGAATTGTGTTGAAAATATAAAATAATTAAAAAAAAAACAACATTTTAATTTGTTATCTTGGGCCAGAACTACTTATTAATAACCTCAAATATATCCTAATATACGTTAATAATAATATAGGCTAGGTCAAAGATTAAGTTACAAAAAGTGTAAACAGGCACATAATTAGGGTAAGGGTTAGGGTTAGGATTGTGGGCTCGGTGTAAATTGTAACATAAATTTACACTTTTTGTAACATAAATATTCAAAAGTGTAAATTGTAACATAAATAGTGTAAAAGGTAACATAAATAACGTAAATATAACATAAACATATTTGACTCCCCCCTCCCCCCCCAATCGATCTCTTTGATTTTATTGATTGATTTAACCCGAATTAACTCTGTTTTGAGATTTCTAACCCTGTGGGTTTCAGCGCCATATCTTGATTATTAGCCAAGATCGCATCCTTTTATGTTACATTTTACAGTTATTAAGTACAATTTTTTTTTCTTTTATCCCTTAATAAAGATAATTTAAGAATTTAAAAGTTTTAAATTAATACTTTTATATTATTTTAAGGTCAAAAATATTGACTATTTCCAAAAATAAATCTGACACGGGTCTTCAAAGTTTAAGTTACATTTTACATTTTCTAACCCTGGGGTTTACTCAAAATTTTGATTTTTTTAGGTATAGATGCGTTTATGCTCTTGAACACTTTCTATTGATATGGTTTCCTATAATAATGAAATATCACGCAGGAAAGCGCATACTTTGGCCTACTTATTTAATTCATTGAGGCATCAAAGTAAATATATAAAGTGACTCAGAATTTAAAGTCTAAAATAATAAATATGTGTAGAATGAACATAAAATACCATCTTTCTAATTGTATTTAAAAATATGACATATTTTTAAGTGTTCGCAACACTTGGTTTGTCAAGTCGCAACAAAACAGGAATGCGTTAAGTGATTTCGACATGTTGCGACATCTATATTGCCATCGATTTTGTCGATTACGTATAGTATTAAAATATATTGCTAAATATTTGTACAGTTAACTTAGACGAAGAAAAAACAACCCATATTTTACTTTAATTTCCTTTAATTTTAAGAAATACAAGAAAAATGTATATTCATAACCCTGGGGTTAGATATGTAAAATGTAACTTAACATTTTGTGAACTTTATGTACTGTTTTATTTGCTACAAAGTAGTATATGGGTAGAATTTATCTAAAATAACATGTTTCTAATTGATCGCAACACTTGGTTTGTCGAAAAATCATGTCGCGATTAAACAAGAGTGACTTCAGTGATTTCGACAAGTCACGACTCCTGATTTGTCCTTATCATGGCCGTAGGAACCGGGGGGGGGGGGGGGGGGGCACGGGCTATATATATATATATATATATATATGTATTTTTTCATTTTTTTCAATTTTTTTCTAAAATATCCAGTTAAAATTGATTTTTAAGAAAATAGGGCCCAAAAAGGAAAAGTCACCAAAAAAAAATTATATTACATTTTACATTTTCTAACCCTGGGGTTAGAACAAAATTATTGAATTTAGTACATATTGATGCTTTTCTGCTCTGGTACACTTTCTATTGATATGGTTTGCTATAATCATGAAATACCAAGCCAGAAGGAGCTTACCGGACATCCCAAAATACAGAATAGATTCATAGTTTCAAAATGTGTCCTCCAGTTAAATATTCCAGGGTCTTATTGATTTATTCCTTCCTGTAAATTTGTACAGAGGATATCAAGAAAATATATGTCTGCATGCTCAAATGGTAATACCTTCATCAATTTGTCCATTTTATATGGCTCTTGGCTTACTCTCCTTTCCATTCACTGGTAAATGTTTTTGGAAATATTTTTTTCTTGTTTCAACACAACAAAAGGTCAAATATATTAAATTGTACTAATTTATTTATGATCATTTATATAAACATTTGCGATTTTCTTCTGTGCTCTTCACCTGAAAAAAAAAAGATAAACATGTTAGTTTTCTTTTTGGAATCGTTTCTATCAAACAGAACAGAACCAATAGTACCAATATAATTAAAACAATGATATATGTGCTTTCTTTTTAGACAACCTTCTTTGTGCTCTCACCCTATCTGCAATGCTCTTCTGATAATCCGTAGGATGCAGATCTTTAACCCTCGAGATGATCTTCTTTCCTTCTTCTCCCTTCCCCAACAACTCTAGGCAAGTTTTGTTTTTTATTGGTTTGTTGTCATCTATAAAGTAAATTAGATGAAAACTAATTATAATTTATTAATAGGTGTTTTTGATTGAGTATTTGAAAATTAATTGTATTTGTAGAACACTGCTTCTCACCATCAATCAATTCTCTGCACCTGCTGATGATTATTTGAGCTTCCTATGTAGTGAACAATCTTCTCTTGTGCTGTGCTGATAGGCATCCCTCAGGCTATAACAATTTTTTTTTTAAATATTCTTGTTGTGTAATAATTGCCTAATGTTATAGTAATGAAACATAGATCATTTAAAAGCATACCAGTGGAAGTCCGTTTTCTTTTTCCATCTCATCCACCTCCTGGATATTTGGACCCTTACTTCCATCAATTTCCCTGACCTAATGAAAGCAAAATACACCATAAAACACAGCATACAACTGTACCTCAATGCAAATCTTTCAAAAGATATTTGCATCATGAATTGATTTACAAAAAGCATTAAAAACCTCTTCATCCACGTTTCTCATAACACTCTCGATAACTCTAACGATCTTGACTGCATCCGTTTTCTTTTGAGTCAGCATGTAATATGTGTCTTGCATTGACGGGCGGTGATTTATTTGTTAGGCCAAAACGTCACGGGCAAGTGTGAACTTAGATTTAACCTATAAGGAGAAGTTATGCTTATATGATATGTATCTATCAGATATCTAATCTATCTTTCTATCTATCTATCTAACTTCCTATAACTAACTTACTGATGTAGCGGTGGCCTTCCTCAGCTGAGTTGCCGAAATGTTCTTTGTTTGCTCTGCGGGCTTCCAAGTTGATTTGATGGCTTTATTCACTGAGGATGGGTTCAAAGCAGAGGGGCTGGCTGTCTTTGGTGGGTACGTCAGAAAAACCACCGACTTCTCCTCGAGCTCACTGTTGAAGCCGGACAACCTCGGTCTGATCTTGGACAAGTAGATTTCCATGAACGTCAAGAGATCCTCGGAAAAAACGAGGGTAATGGGTGCTATATGGCCAGTCTTGTGATGTGCAATCTGAAAAAATAATGTTAAAAGATCATGATCCTTTCTTAATAGAAATGACATTTTACCTTAAAAATCCCCACCCCCTAACTCCCCATTCAGTAAAAAAGAAAATGAAGGAAGAAAAGACTCACAACTGCCACATGGCTATTGTCTTTTTCCTCAGCATTCTTGATGTGCCTGATTTTAAGGTTAACTAAGGCATCCACCCTTTGCCCATTATTTATCAAGAGATTCAACATGAGGAAATTCCTCACTAACAAAAAGTTCTCTTCCTGTAAGTCCCCTTGACCCTAATCCTCCTCCATATCCTTAAACATTTCAACTGCTTCAGTATAGATGTTAGACTTCTGAAATTCTACTATGTCCTCTGGCTCTTTTCTCTCTACTGTAATTTTTAATATACACATATATATTTAGAGGTAGATATATTTAGGGAGAGAAATATATCATTAAAACTGTTTTACTGTAATTATTGAAACATGGAAAAATACCATCATCTTCCGCTCTTTTTTCTACTCTCCTCTTTTGGATATCTATCTGCAGGGCCCTTGCCCAACGCTTAAATTTTTCTGTTGGGGCCGTGGATACCGTTCTCTCCAACTCCCCCGTGTCAACCAGAAAATCAAGAAAATCCTTAAGTGATCCTTAAGAAATAACATTGAGAAAAAATGTACAATCAACAACTTTTAGAAATGTTTTATCAACTTGTTTTCAGTAGAGGTTAATAAAATTTTACCAAGATAAGACCTAACTGTCCCTGGTGCGAATCTTGTCCTTGCCATGGGCAACCACTTGTCACGGATGTTGGATGCTGACAGTAGTGTCTTTATATCCAAATCTGGATCTATACTTGACCAGATGGAGAAGATTTGCTGAGCATGTTGCTCCGTAATCTTCTCCCCCTGTTCTTCTCAAGGCTCATATGCCATAGCTTGAACTCCTTCAATATTTTCTCTGAAATAATTCATTAATACATTCCAAATTTTGTTTAAGGAAGATTTACATATTTAAAGGTTAGATAATTCTAAAAGTAAACTTACCTTTCCTCCATTCTCCTCTAGAGTACTTTCCCTCTTTTTCAGCTTCCTCTTCAGCTTCAGCTGGCTCCTCACTAGAATATTTTATGACACCAGTATATGATAGTATTCTTGAAAAAACAGTTTATTTATAAACATTGAGATGGGATAAAACTAACGTCAATTCTGCTCCTTTGTCGACATCACCAGCTGATGTAATTCCTCTCCATCTTTTTTTCTTGTGGAAGTGGGTATCTAGCCATTTAACTACAGCATTACATCCTATAAGTGTTTTAATCTTTACACAGAATAATCTTATTAGGAAATGCAGAAAGGTTAACATCTAAAAATCAACGTTAGTATATGGATTTTGCCATTTGAATCATGATAATTTGCTTACTTACTTTTGCCGGTTTTTACGTTGGTCTTTGCTGGATGGCGGTTGTATCCATGAGAGAGGACATTCCTTCCTCTTTCTTTTCCCAGGCGTTTGTTTTCGTGGGCCCTTCCTCGGTCGTCGCCCGCGTGGCGCAGTGGTTAGAGCGTCTGCTCTAAAGTCGCGGAGTAAGGAGTTGATCTTTACGTCGCGGGTTCGATTCCCACTGTGGGACGTGGAGACCGGTCCTTCGGATGAGACCGTATAAACCGAGGTCCCGTGTCGCAGTAGGTACCGGCACGAAAGAGATCCCTCACTGCTCAATGGCCGTAAGTGCCGAGTATAGGACAAAATTTGCAGCTCTTCACCGGCAAGTGGTGGCGTCTCCATATGAGTGAAAAATTCTCGAGAGGGACGTTAAACAACATACAAACAAAAAAAAACTTCCTCGGTCTTTTGCTGGGTACTTTCTTGTTTTCTATAGAAGGTAATATGCTTGTAACATACTTATACTTATACTGAAAATAAAATAAACCCAACAGAAATATTTACCCTTATTCCGGCAAGGGTGGAGAACAGGATCAGGGCTAGGATTAGGACTGATCATTGATGTCGAAGTTTTTGGCTAGAAAGCAACAATGGATATTTTGTAAATCGATTTATGCTTCGAGTGTCATTGAACCCCCAAGAATACTACATCTGGTTTGTTGCGGGAAATAGTTAATTCAGATGTTTACAGTTTATAAATTATAAACCTGTTCTGTTGTTTTGCTTACTTCGTCACAGCAGACTAGAAGAATGGACAACCTTCTGACTTTCGCAACTTTGAATATCTCATTTCTGTTTGTGATGTACTTTTATTAAAATACACAAAAATTGTAATTTTTATGCATAATTGTTCTTTGTTTCATGCAACAATGATATTCAGTTGGTTACCACAGCAATTTCTATCCAAAAAGTCTTGTTACTATCTGAAACTATAATATAAAGTCTACTAGTTCTAACAAATCAAGTTTTTTTTTTTTTTTAAATATTTTTCAGTTATACTGAATCTTGAAATCAAATCTATAAATAGCCCAGTGGAGAAATTCAATAAAAAACCTAAATTTTCATTATTTCAAAGTTATATTTCATGAAAAAACATACAGATTGCATAAATTCATTTATGAATTCAGAAACTGTATCCTCAAGAGATGTGAATTATCAAATAAAAATTCTGCGTTTTCCATTTTTTAAATAAATCGAACAATTCGAAAAAGGCGTTTTTTAAACATATTTCAAAAATTCCTGAAATCAAACACTATGCATATGATGTACCATTCCATTGAAACAATTTTTTTTTGATTGATGATCCCATTTAATGTAGAAAGAAATTATACAAATTATTGAAAAATAAAATATTAAATCATAAATAAGTGATATTTCCGGTTGCCATGGTAACAATTGTTGAAGATTAAAACAAACATTAAGACAAACCAAAGTCCAGTGCATTTGTTACATTGTGATGTAAAATCCATATTTATTTTTAACATTTCAATTTTAGCCCCACCTAACTGCAGGATCTACAATTTGAATTTTAAAAAAAATGGATCAACAGGACTAAGGAATCTTTGCATATTTACATGATATAGAGATGACATGCCAAAAAAAAAAATGATCATAAAAGCATTGATGAGCTTTCAAATCATGCTCATTCAGCTTCTCAAAAGTCTGATATGACTTTTAACATCCATATTCAGGACAAAAGAATAACTTAGAGTTCATTCCAGAAGGTTCGTCATCGATACCATCATCATCATCATTTGATAAGGTAACAGATTGATCATCATGTGATCCTGGTTGATTCTCTGATGTCTTAAGATGAATTTGGCCATGTTCTTCAGGGTGGTTGAAGTCACTTATGATCTTTAAACTGGTAGTAGATTGCAATTGACCTAGTTTCTGAAGACTTTCCGTATCTTTGAAGCACCCCTCTCCAATTCTGTATGCTTTCCATGTTCTTAATCCTGCTGCTGTGAAATCAATGTTTGATATGATGCTTACTTCCTTCCAAGAATGCTTTGTGAGTGTTTGCTTAGTGACATCAACATCAACAACAGCAATGCAGGTTCCCTTGACTCCTGCACCACTCTCAATTGCCTCCTTCATCTGGATAGCTGTACATATATTATGGCCCTCTGAAGAAAAGATCCTCCTCTTTGATCTCATGTGAGCAATTTTTGCATCACAGTAACTTTTTCCACTCTATGCTTCACTGTAGTCGAAACGCTTCACAGTAATTCCTGAAAAAATGAGAATACATACAATAGTATTTTCATTTGATGAAAACATATTTTTCACTACAGCATACATATATTCTCAAGGAAGCTTTTTTCAAGAGCATTTTTACTTTTGCTAGCATAATTTTCAAACAGACACAACATAGCTACCTATTGGAAATTCAAACTTTGTTTCAATTGAAAAAAAAATTCAGAAAAACATTTTTACGCATATATTATGAATCCATAAAAACAGAATGTACATGAGGAGAATGAGCAAATCAATCCCTTAAGAAGTATAATTTATGATAATGTTCTAGACAAAGAAAACCCATTTATTAAAGAGAAAACAAATTCCAAAGCATCAACAATTTCAGATGCTTACAAGGTATGCATTGTGCATAATTGACAAAGATTACCTGTTCTTTCTGACAATGATGGTATGGAGAGCCATATCTGCCCACAATGGTAGCACCCCGCATTGTCTGATCTAAGGTAAGCTTCTGTTATGTGTGGCAGCTGTTGTTTAATAGTTACTAGTGTATGTTCTAGTAATGAAAGAACAGCAAAGAAGTCCTGTTTCACATAATCCATTATGTGAGTAAAAGTCTTGTGCTACAAAAGAGTAAAAACTGCTTGAGGCATATGTTCACACACTGTAAAGCAACTTCATTTTATTTCTAATTTTAAATACCAAATTACTTTCACATGCCAATACACATGGAGTATGCATAATACAACAGACAAACAACTGATAGATCTATACCCCATAATAAATTTTTTTTATGTGTACAGTCAAATGTTCTTATCTTGAACTCCTTGGGACTACAGAAAATCTTTGAGATGATGCATGTATCAAGGATAAAATACTTGAATAATAAGTAATCTATTAGGGATTTGATTGAATCACTTTGAGATATCCATGATATTCAAGAAATCCACTTCCGAGAAACTGTAGTTGAACTGTGTATTATTTATATATTAGCTTACCACTAAACCTCCATTTTGTTCCTTGAAAACTGCAACACACACATGCCAGTGTACACCTTTCTGTCCAAAGAAGTCTTTCATTTTCTCACGGTACATCTGTGGCAAATATTTCATCGCCCAGTCTAGAATCACTAAAACTTCGTTGTTCTTCAAGTCATGCAGAATGTCTACTCTTCCATCATCTTGATTCACAGTTCTTATAATATGAAATCTCCAGTCCTCTACCTGTATTACGGACATTTCCAAATCTTGCAATATAGTACCTCTTGCTCTTCTGATGGAGTCTTTATGATGAATTTGCGGATCTCTGTGGCAACTTCACCAAATATGTTACACCTGCTGCAGATCTTATTATGCTCAAGGTCACATGAAACACTAAGATGGCTTGATTTGGGGTCACTCAGTGCATATTGTAAGCAGTGGAAAGCACATTCATCTTCTCGCTTGATGTGGAGTTTGTAGTCAGTCTTTAAGTACAGTCGAGCATTGAACAGCTTTTCCTTCATTTCTTTTTTCCATTGTTGAGGTTCATCAAGTTTATCAAATAAGCTACTCAGACTGTCAAAAGCTGAAGATCCATCAACAGCAATGTTATCAAGTCCTTTCAGACACTTCCGTTTTGATGCACTACATGCATTTAGGACTTCATATAGAGTCGACTCACTAAGATGCTCAAAGTTATTACTGGCGCAGTATGTGTTGTAAGGTTTGATCAAATTTGAATGGATCATAGTCCTAACTACATCAGGAATTACTAAAGTGTCTCCAGAATCTAGCTTTAGGTATCTTGTAGTGTATGATGAAATCTGGTTGAATGATGGATCACTGAAAAATTCTACTGCATGTTGTAACTTTGCAAAATTGATTCTCTGTCTGTGTTGAGAAGATACTGTTTGCTGAACACCTGATCCAGGACCATTTACGAAAGCA